ATAATCCAGATAAGAAAGTAAATATTCTGATACACCAATGAATAAAAGATAGAAAACTAGATCATCCGCTCCCATCGCATCTCAAGCAATTCGTCCGTGAGAAGCTATAGAATCTGAGTCTGATTCACAATCCATGGCGCGCACCTCGATGCCATTCTGCCCACTTCAATGAAACGATAAAGTTCGGCAAGTTAACAGAAGGAATCTGCAGTCTATGCCAGCTTCATTTCTTCTAAGAATGAGAATTCTAGGACAGGACACTTACTACCTTACGGCAGGAGAAGGCTATTGCATGATGCAGTGTCAAGCATGTCGGAGGATTAGTTTTGAAGAGGGAACTCCCTCTAAGTTAGAATCCTTCATCGGAAAGTGAGGGCTCCACTCAGAACCAAGGTGGCCGCTATACTGTCTTTGGTCTGACAGGACTGTTTCTTGTGCGAAACGTTCAGGACGAAAACTATGAAGTGAACGTGCAATCCTACGTTGAGTCTCATTCTCGTACACTTGGGCAGCCGTAAAATAGCACTTTTCCAAAACTGTTTCCATTTACTACAATAAATATATATGTCATTTCATCACCTGTCATCAATAGATGTATCGTGTGTATCTGCACAACTGTGGACGTCCCCTAAGAAGACCACCTTTTCGTAATTACATTGACTCTGCGGTTCATATTTTCTGACAGATGAAGTTGCAGACCTTGAACAGAAAGGAACCTGAGGAAAACGAAGCAGCGGGAGACGTGAATCGGTATTTCAATGACTAAGAGGAAGCAATGTCCTACATCAGTGTTCTGCACTCGAAAGTTTCATACTGTTGCCCAGCAGATGCAAGGATTTACTCTCGTCACTGCGCATTAGCCACGCCCTTCTTCGTCGACTGGCTGTAGCAATAATCTGGTAAGACCTTGATGGGGATCATTTCCAGCCACATCCAACCATGAGCACCTCAAAGAAAGGATCTACCTGCTCCCGCTTGCATCTACAGCTTAAATTTTCAAATTTGGCAAGACACTATCCTACTATTGACACAGCCAGCTAAAATACTTTCATGTGCAACTCTCCAATGATCCCTACACGTAAATAATTGGCTCAATCTCGGGTAAAAACAGAAACGCAACGAAGTGAAACAACTCCAGAGCAAGGGCCTGGTGAAATACATCCCTGACTGCACCTAAAAGTGATGCCGGACGAGGTGGCTCACACAATCCATGATCGGATATTTATAAAAAACGTACCTTAAATTTAAAACATAGGACATCACACAAATCGAATATGTCTGAAAATAAGGCAACAGAAACTCTGCAGATTTGGCAGCATTTTTAAGTTCCTCCTGTCATCCAATTGTGAACAGGGCGGTCAGTTCTCCCCACCATGAGCGAGGTTGTGAGGCATCCATTCAAGCTGAATAGTACCTGGTTGGATTCCCTCGTCCTGCGCAGGAAACGAAGTTGTGGGTGCCACTGCAATCCAGCCAAAGCAGAATCCGAAGTGAGCTTCAACTTTGTGGTACTTCATGGAAGAAGCTCCATTCGGGGCGGAGTTTCCAATGCTGCAAGGAATTGGCAACGTGATATGTTATCTAGATAACTCGTAGGTTAAGTTATGCTTCTTCTTCAACAGAAATTACTTTTAAAGGTTTAGATTTTTTGTGCAAATATTGGTGGGTATATTTTTTTGCTGTAGAAACATGTTTGGGGTTACTAGACATGTTGGAAACTTTTGCAAGAAAAAAGATATGCAGTCACAAGTGAATTATTTGGAATCTGTACAATATTTTTGCAAAAATAGAATTTATTTCATTGGCTATGATTGATTGTTAGCATAAAAGTTGTCACAAGGAGCTATGTCACAAACTTTAACTTTAATAACCAAGTTGTTATATCATTGGTTAATTCGAATTTAGTTTTTATTATTGTGGTGGTATAGTTGTTCTATCATTCCAATCTAGACTTAAGAAATTCAAAGAAAAATAGAAAAAGAAAAAGAAAAAAAGTTATAGGATTAAGTCAACACCATCTACAAGATACATGCTTTTTTGGAAAGATTGTCTAAATGTTGTATCTAATTTAATCAAATTTATAATATATAGATTTTAATTTTTTAGATATAATTTGATATTTTTTTAAACATTTACTAAAAAAACTACATATGTGGGCTCATGTGTAAACATTAAAATATACATAAACCAAATTTAGATAAACTATGTATGTGTTATATTAATAAATTATAGACTTTTATGATATTATTTAAACTAGAGAAGGTAAAATTATTTTTTAAAACTTTATTTAATAATTTTATTATTTTATAACGCAATTTCTATTTACAATCAAATCTAGGACTTTTTACTTAATTCCCAAAAATATGTATATATATATATATATATATATATATATAATTTATGAATAAGAAACAAAAATTACGTATGCTATGTAGTAAAACATATCATAATTAAATGTGCCAAACATACAACATTAACAAGAACATAATGTTATAAGTCTAAAATACAAATTAGAAAAAACAAATATTACTAAAATACTATTAATTAAATAATTAAATTAAAATAATTATGCAGTGTAATTATCATTTTTCCATAAAATTTTCTTGATTTTTTTTAAAGCCTATATTACTAACTTAGTCCAAAATCCAAGTACATTGTAATTCGTTTTTTATTTTTATTTTTATTTTTTATACTTTAGATCGTAATCCTATACAATTTGCGTGACCATTTGTTTTTATATTTACTTATTTATATATTTAAACTTACTTCATATATATATATATATATATACACGTAGATAATTTAATACCAATGATATGCAATTAAACGTTTTGATATATATATATATATACACGTAGATAATTTAATACCAATGATATGCAATGAAACGTTTTGATATAGGAAAAGAGGAGGAAGAAAATGACTTTCAATAAGTAGTTTGTTCTTCTAAAAATTAACTTATTAGATAATATTTATTCTTAAAGGTTTTTTTAGATATCTCAATAAATATTTTAAATCTATAATTAACATAAATTTGATTCAAATTCTACGTTAGTTATTTTAGAAAACCACTTGACAGACATCCCCTCCCCCCTTTTATTATATGGATTCGCCCCCTTCTCTATACTTTACACCTCTACACAGACACAATAAAATGCTTATTTATACTAAAAATTTTTGGGGTAAAATTTTTAAAAAATAATAATATATTTAAAGTGAATTAAATATTTAAATAAAATTTGGTAAATAAATAATTAAATAAAAATGCCATGTGCCATTGCACAGAAATCTTTCACTGCAACTTTGACTTAAAACTTTTTAGTATAAATAAGAGCATTTCTTTGTGTATGCAAGGGTGCATTGTGTTGAGGAGGGGTGAGTGTCTATGCAATAAAAAGGAGATATCTTCGTAGGAGTTCTCTTATTCTTAATTTGTGTATTAAAAATAGAATGAAATACAGGATTAATATGAATTATATATATATATATATATATATGCACACACACATATCAAATGAATTTAAAAATAGAATAATTTTTTGATAATAAAGATAAAAAAATTTAAAAATTGAAATTGACACTTGTAGGTGAAGTAGATTTACAAACAGATGTAGATACTATAAATGCTAGACCAATTATGTTTGGTATAAAGAAATATATATATATATATATATATATATATATATTAGAGAAAAAGAAGAAGATAAGATATCTACACCAATATAACTTTTTATAGGAGCAACACTATTTTATATGCAAAATCAGGGAGTTCAATGATGATTTTTTAATTATTTCAAATCAAAATACTTTTCTATTGCTTGGCTGCAATATTATGATTATATAATTATATAATTCATAATATTATATAATTATATAATCATATAAAATACGTTTGATAGGAAAGAAATCAATTTGATTTATTAATATTGTGGAATTTGTCTTGAATCTTGGTCAAATAAATTATATATATATATATATATATATATATATAGTTGAAGATTTGGGTTGTTGACATAAGTTTTATTAGTTTGCTCTTAATACCTAATTACATTGGTAATTCACTAACAAATTTTCGATCTTTAGGTTTAGATTTAGAAATTGAATTTATATAGTTGTATTGCTCTTATGATCTTTATTTCTTGAAAATATAAAGATCATGTGTATTCTTTTAAAACTCTTGCTAATTAATTTAATATAAATCCAATATTTATTTGAAGTGTCTTATTTTTTTCTTTAAAGTTTGAGAATTTTTGTGATCAACTCTAAACTTTTCCAACCTAGCTTATAATTCTTCTAACTCTAAATTGGTTCTAAATTATTAGCACCTTTTACTCTTCTAACATCCTTATTTTGGGAATTAATGAAAGTTTAACAAATAATTTTTAAAAATAAATAAAATAGTTGTGAAATGATTTCACTATTGAGATGAAATATAACTTATTAACCAATAATTTTCATTCTAACATATATACATATAAGAAAAAACTTAAAACACCATCATACCAACTTTAATGTTTTAATCCAATAAAATTATGGTGTCAAATTATTTTAATAGGATTTCAACAAATATATCTAACATCTTTACAAACTTCACTTATGCAATAATTGTTTTGTCTATATGTATTATGAGTATAAATATATATATATTATTCAAGACATAAGAAAACGCAAGAATCAGGATAAGAATTGGACTTTCCACTGCAAGTGCACATCCGACCATTCTTCAGGAATGTGCATGTCCAATTGCAAAGTCAGTGACACACTCTTTGGTAAGACATCCAAATTGTGTTTTGGGCAGATGGGTTCTGCTGCAGTTCACAACCTCCCATCCAGAAGAAAAAGAAAAAAAAGAGAAAAAAAGTAGAAAAACAGCCAATGCTAGAATCAGAATGGAATTTCGAGCCATCTCATCATCATGCTACTCCAACTACATGGACGGCTACGATGGCGCTAGCGGTGGAATCTATCTCGCATCCCAGAGCACTCGTGATACAACTTTCGCGCGACTCCATTTCGTCGATCAGGCTCTTGCTCGCTGGCTCGCTTGCTCTCCAGTTCTCTAGTTTTGTAGCCCTCTCGCGACCTCGTCACGCACGCATCGCAGATTCGCCTTTCTGTGTTTCGTGCACACGGTTCATTACATACTTACTACCATGGTGACGGCGCGCGCGCTCGCTTTTGATGTGACGCAGCCTGGCGCTGCTGCCATGGCGATCGACCAGGACTGGCACGCCCTCGGCGCGGCTCTCTCTAACTTGGGCATGCACTTGGCTGCTGCGGCTGGGATCACTGGTTCCAGCACCGGTTTGTTGCAGTGGCTCGCCGTGATTGCTGCTATGTACACTACTTGTCTTCACTCTTCTTCTTCAGTTTTCTCTTCCTGCTTTTCTTCATATGATGTTTGTTTTTTTCGTTGCCTCCTCTCTCTCCGGGATTTGTCGGTGTGAGTTGTGACTACTAGAGTTCCGAATGGCGGCCACACCTTAGAAGATTTTGAGCTCTTAGGGGGCGCTTGAATGTGAGGCATATCGTAAGTGTGGTAGTTGAGAATAACTACTTTAGTTGAGTTGGCCATGGAGCAGCAGGTGTCTGGGTGTTTGCGACTTGAATCTTAGCAGTGAATTTTGCAGTCAAGGAGGCATTTCCGATATAGAGAATGCAGTTGGTGCTTCTACTCATCTAGTTAGGGATCGTTGTTCTGTGCAGCTATTTGCTGGTCTTGGACAGGACTAACTGGAGAACCAACTTGTTGACCGCTCTTCTTGTACCATACCTCGCGCTCCAACTCCCGGAAGTCGTGTTTGATTTCTTGCGGTACGTCACCTTTTTTCGGAAACTGCCGTTGCGGAAACTTTGAATGCCAGTGTCGAAACTGTGGAGGCTGTTGCATAGTTTTTTTCTTACGAGTCCTTTCCAATGCGAGTTTTGCATCTCAGGGGAGGAATCGGTGCGTGGATTGCCTTCGCTGCCGTGGTTATCCGCCTCTTTTTCGCGCAATCGTTCCCTAATTTGATTCACGGTAAGGCTCTAACGCACCCTAGTGAGATTGTGTTAATTATATAGTAAATTGTTTGCTCATTGTGCCGTTGGCGCGTATCCTTGCTGATATCAATCCATGACCTGTCCAGGTGATTTGGAGTTGCCCGTAGCCTTCATCCTTCTTGTTGTTACTGCCCCCAAGGCCATCGTCCATTTTAGGGGCCATTTCATTGGTGAGATCGTGTGCCTTGTGATTGGGGCTTATTTGTTGTATCAGCACACCAACCACGCCGGCGGCTTCCGTCGTGCATTCGCTGAGACAAGGGGCGTCCGCCACACCGTGGGCATCCTCCTCTTATTTGTTGCTCCCGCCTGGTCGCTGTTATTCTAGATTATCTCCGTCCCGCTTTCACAGTCACGCACGTTTGCACTAGTCTGTATCTGCCTTTCAATGTGATACTTATAGATTTAAGGATAACCCTGTGTTAAATAAAATATGGCACTATGACCCCGAGCTCTCCGTGTATTCTCCAAAAAATAGTCCATGCTTGCTGTGCAGTGGATATCCAATAATCCACAAGTTCCACGTTTTGTGTGCTTGACCGTTCGAAGCCTTTGTTGTGAAGGCGTATGCAGAGTAGTTAGGTGGATGTATCCAGAAGGGGAATGATTTCGTGGAACGTGGCCAGCTGGGAAGACATCTTACATAAGTATAAACGCTGCACACTGCTGACCTGGAATGAGCTGGAAACGTTTTGTGATGCCCTTATCTGACATTTATAGGATCCAGTACCTGAGCTTTGTCAGCATATACGAAAAGTAACAATTCCCCAGAAACATCACACACTACCGAATCTTCGTGACGTGAATGGTATTGTGAAGTGGACGGGAGGCAGTCTTCCATGTCACTAAGAAATGAGTGAAGCATATGGGTGGTTCTTTCAGCTCACGAAGATTCTGAGTTATCGTCAGGAGTTAAGCTACGAGAAGAAAGTCTTTGGCACACAATTTCGCTTGAAGCAAGCCATGAGAACAACATTTGATCCCATGAGGTCAAAAGATGCCGCAATGAAAAGCGAGATGATTTGAATGTAAAGGATCGTCTGTTGGTCACGAAATCTCGTGCAAGATGGAAATCGTCGGAGGAACAGTCCTCAATGCTGCTTGTCGGAGACGAGAGATTTAAGAGTGTAATTTTGCCTCAAACTTGTTCAAAGCGCATCGTTGATTTGTCCTCATCGCACAGTCGGTATCACTGATGTTTCCTCTCCGACGGTACAGGGAAGATATTCTTTCACGATTAAAAGTGTCTACCATTTCAAATAAACCTTGAGGAACTGAAGCCTGCTGCCGTCCACTACAACCCGCTTTCCGCTGATGCACGCGCAGGACCTTTCAGCTGGCGCATGTTGACGGACTTTTTACGAAGCTCGCAACCGATATTTAAGTTCCGAATTTACGAAGTCCCTGTCCAAAATATCCACGGATCTTAACAAACTACTCACGAAAATTCGGCATTCTGTCCATGTCCTCTTCTTAACACGCTACGGGGACTGCAATAAATTTCTGGTGATTTCACCGCACTGAACGGCTTGTCTAACAGATTACTTTCATGCACACCTTGAAAGCTGCTAGACCAGCGACGCAAAAATGTGCTTCGTTTTACTCGCCCATTCGCATTCAACTCCGTGGGAAGTTACAAAATATTCATATCACATCTTCGGATTCATGTGCCCAAACGACGATGCTTGCAGTTCATGGCTTTCCATCGAATTCCAGCTGCGGCAGATCATTGAAAAGCAAGTACAAGCGACAATCCCTCAGAGTGAAAATTTCCACGGCGTTGTAATTCCTTAATTCCAATTCGACTGAGGAATGGGTTCTTCGACCAAGATTGGCATGCGTTAGTGTAATGCGGCACCAAAGCTGGTGCTTGATGGAGCGCCGAGCTGTAGTGTAGGGAGAGGAAGCCGCGTCGTCGCCACAACACGGCCATTCGACCACCATCGACACCATCACCCGAAATCCGAAACTATTTCCCACATTTTTGTATTGAACACATTCCAACACTGAGTTTCAAATTTTACTGAATTTGATTTATTAGTTTTAAATTAAATTAAATTATTTAATTACGGGATTTGGGGGAACGCATTTGCAGCTGCAGAGAAGAGTTCCTTTATTTTGTTTGTCACTTGAATCAATTTTGCAAACGTTTTGTTAAATGTTGAAACCAAATTCTATATATGTATGAAAAGTTTTCAAGTTTTTATCTTAGAAGTGAATTTCAGAATAAGAAATATTCAATACTGCTTCAAGAGAGGTTTCCTGAAATTTGGGTTTTATTAACAAGATTGAAAGTATATTGTATGTTGAAAAAAATTGTGTTAGAAGTTATATATATTTTAAGATTGATTATAAAAGTGACTTGCTAACTGCTATATGATAAAATATTCACATGAGACACAATTTTTGAAAAATTCATTTAAAAATATAAGAACTAAAAAATAAAAACCTTACTACAAACCTCATTGTATTTAGCATTTATTTATAAAAATAAAGAGATTCAAGAACAAGAGACTATAGGATATGTAACAAGTGCTTTGATGTTGATAATTTTTAAGTCACAATTAATTATCAATTATTCTAATTTCATTCTTTGTATCCTAAATCCTAAAACCTATTAATATTAGCTCCACTACAACTATTGGTACTAGTGCCATTATAATCTCTACTACAATTGCTAGTTCTAATGCATTTATTTGTATTATTACTACCATAGTCTTTGCCACATATTTTGATTTTGCTATCACTATGGTTTTTTTTTGCAATTTTTGGTTCCATTGTGCTTGTTAGCTTTGTGACCACCTTGGTCCTTTGTTGAATTACTTATCCAGCTAATACCTAATAATTCTACTACTACTACAGTTACTACTACAAATGCCAAGCTTAATACATCTATTAGTACTAGTGCTACTATAATCTTTGTCATAGTGGTGGTCTTATTTGAAGACTTTGTCTTAAAAGAGATACCATAATCTATCTTTGTACCTCAAAAATTCTAATTTTTCTCTATACTTCTAAAATTCTAGCATGTTTACATACTGCCTATTAAGTATATGAAATTGAAACAAATAAAAATTCAATGCTCTCTTATGTTACTCAAAAAGAGTAGATATTTATTCAAGATTAATAAAATATTAAAAATAGAATAGCTATTGCCAAAAATAAGAATACTAGAGAATCTTAAAACAAAACTAAAGACTAGAAAATGCATTGATAAGTAAGAAAAAGACTTTATTCTTGCTTCCATATATGCTATCTGACTAAAAGTTAAATTATAAGATTCTATAGGACCTCCAACATGTGTTTAACTTTCAAGATACTTGTTAAACTTATAGGACAAGTTTCCTACATTTATGCCACATAGTTAGCTTAAACTATAAGTTATCAATATGTGCAACTTGTAGCTAATTTGTTGCTAAAAACCTATCAATCAACTACAAATATGTATGAAGTCAAATCCTTATTTATGAAGCTTTTAAGAAGCTATGCTATAAGATAATATGAAATCTACTTATATTTATTTTCTATCTAATATTACTTATTCAAGTAAATATGTATGTCTATAGTATTACCTCGTCTTCTATGGAAAAGTTCTACAAAGAGCAATAATCATATAATAAAAAAGTCCAAGATATAATAAATTATATTTGCTATATATTCTAATCTTTATTCCTATTAAAAGTGGTTGATAAGTCATTGCAGTTAGTAATATTGTCCTGTACTAAAGTAGAAAGACCACCCTAATATTTGATCATTGTTAAGGCCTTCATAATTTTTTTCAAATAAAACATTTAAAATACCAAAAGAGGTGGTTTCTACTTCCAATAAACTCACCAAATATTGAGAGTTTCTTCCAAAGACGTGATACTAAATACATTCTATTTCACTATCTATGTAAGAACATATATATTGTTCTTCAAGATCTTCATTTCTATTATGTTGTCTTGAAGGTTATAAAAATCATAATATTTTATTTGATAGCTTAGCAAATAATAACTCTTGAATTAAGTTTCTTGATTATTGATTCTCTATCTTTTTAATAGAATAAATATACAAAAATTACAAATAAAGATAGAAGATATAATGCAATCTTTTATGAACCATATTTCTTTTATAACAAAATTTGTTATTCTTTATCTTGGTTTTGATAGATGTTATCAATAAAAAGTATCAACCTTCTTTACTTCATTTACAAGATTCTTAGCTAGCTTCCATGTATATTCATTAATATCATATTTGCAATGATAAGCAAGATATTCCAACCTATTTTGGAACTGCCTTGAGTCTAAGACTTCTTTGACCTCATATTCTTAATTATTATCTTCTTCTATAAGATGAAATGGTATTTAACCTTTTCTTAATATATTTATAATTTTATATGGTTTAAAAAGAAAATCTTGGAATATGAGATAGACCTCCATGGATTTCAATAGTTGTAATTAATAAGCAACTAGATTGATTTTTTTACAAATAAGAAATGATCTAAGTCTGTGACAATCCAACTTGTCTAAAAAATAAATAGTCTTAATAATACAAAGTAATCATATCTTATTGCCTACATAGAATTAAAACTATTTCTTATAATAGATATCTATATCAAAGATAGTTTTATATCAACCTTCAAAATCTTGAGAAGGCTTTTCAAAAATCTTGATATAAATTGATTCCCTCTATTTAATATAATATCCCTCAATAATCTATGATCGCATTGGATATTGTAAAAAAAAAAAAAAAAAAAGTCGTTTCTTTACTCATGATAGATTTTGTACATAGTATAAAATACACCAACTTAGTAAAATGATCTACAATCACAAACATAGAATTGCATGAACTTGAAATTGAAGATCTATGATAAAATCCATAGAAACAAAAGTTGATAGTTATTTGGATATTGGTAGTAGTTGAAGAAGTCCATAAGATTGATGACAAGAAATTTTTGATCTTATACAAATATTACATGATTGTATAAAGTTATTAATTATCTTTTACATTTGAAGCTACTAAAAATCTTTAAATATTAGCTCAAAAGTCTTTCATATATCAAAAATATCTTATTACTAGAAATTTGTAATATGCTTGAAGAACACATAATTATACCTTACTTTTGAAATATAAAAATAGCCTTAAAAATATAATAGATTATTTTTTGAATTTAAATTTAAAAATATCATGGTACTTAAAAGATTAGTCTTAATATTATAAAGAAGAGGATCAAAGGTTATACTTGATAAAACTTGCTTGAGAAAGGTTGAATCAACTATTTATGTTAATTTTATTGCTTAAGGATAAAATCACTTTAAATTAAAGAGATTCATGTTTTATTGATTAAAAGTTATATTTTTTTTTAAAAAAAGATAAGAATTTTTAAAAAAATATTTGAAAAACCTTATTATTTTCTTTTTTGATAAGTGATTTTGAAATCAAATATTAATAAAGATATGTATTAATAAA